CTGCAAATAATTAGGAAAGCTGAAAGACCAATGCATATCACGAAGAGGTTTATGCATTACTCAAGGATAGGGACAGATGAAAGTGATACGGCAAGTGTAATGGTCAAAATAGTAAATACTGAGTGAATTACAGAAAATATCTGATTCAGGAACAAAGCTCACTACTAATCGAATTGCTATGGCAAAAATGCACCCACAAAAAAGATTATACACGCACACAAATGACTAAATAAGGATGTAAAGAGTAATAGCTTTTTAGCGATTAATTATCCTATTATTCATTAGTCAGAACTACAGGCTGGTTTTTTGAATGACAGTATCGTCCGATGCTTGTCATTACGTCATTTGTTGATACCGACTCAAGCAGGATAAATGCATAAAAATTGAAAAAAAAAAAAAAAAAATTTCCCTTTGTTGGGAAGATTTGGTAAAAGGTGACATGCAGAAAATTACACCAATTGACCTGCCACACAGTCTACAACTTAATACTGTCATTCTTTAATATGCATTTATTTACATGATTGCCTCACACTCACTTAAGTAACTAAAATTAACAATTATTTATATAATTAAAGCTACACATTGTGATAGAATGGACAGCGTAATTTTCGAGTTAAAGAACTGGAATCTGTCACAGTAACTAAAGTAAGCAAATGCTTCGAATAGTACATAAAATGGTAGTACTTTTACTTTTGATAATTTATTTGGGCCATAGTGCAATTTGTAGTATATTTAGTAGACTCCATAATTTATTTTCTGAATACCTATAATGGTAGATAGCCGTGTAGTTAAGGTCTCACGTAACTAAAAAATGAGCATAGATATTTACTTCCAACCATAAGTACGGAAAACCGATACTTAGGACAGCACAATTACAAAATTCATTCACACAAGAGTAGATATGCAGAAAATTGTACAAATTGACCTACCATACAGTCTACACCTTAATATTGTCATTCTTTAATATGTAATTATTTACATAATTGCCTCATACTCACTTAACTAAAAATATTTGTTTTCGGACTTTTTCTGAACATCCATTATAGCAGACAGCTAAGTAATACGATGCATGTGGTACAGCAAAAAGAAGATAAATGCTTATTTTTATGCGATAATGACGAAACAATCAGACCTAAGAAAGCATAATAACATCATAAACTCATATGAGCAGCAAACATGAAGTCAATCTCTGTATTTGAATGCATACTATCGTTTTATTTTTATAAAAGCTTATTTTTTTAATTTGTATTTATGCTATTACGTGTATATTTGTTCACACAGACATACTTATACAAGCATATACAAAATCTGAATATCGATATAAACACACACACATACATATATGTATCGATATTCAGCGGCTTAAAATTCAATAGTAGCTGTAATAACACTCTGCTAGAAAGCTTGGTTTACAGACAAAATTTAAAATGCAGAAACACTTAAGCACTGATCATTTCTATTATTATTATTTAAAAACCATTACTCATAAGATAAAATTATTGCATATACAGTTTCGAGCCAGCAAAATGGAATGCAGTTATTACTGTAAATTATTTCGTTAAATACTTAATTAAATGGAAAAGTAAGTTATTTTATTGCAGGAATTTGTACAGTTGTTTCTCATACATTCATATATTTCATTCATCCAGACAGGAATTCATACTATCATACATACACTACAGAAACCTGATAATGATTTTTAATGTTATTTACATAGCCATCATTCCTGAATACGCTTTTAAAATGGCGATGCACATTTACATCTGCGTAAATTGACACAACAGAAAATTAATTATAGTTGATTCATTAAACTTTCTTGCAACCATTTTACAAGCTGAGAACTATTAGTACAAGTGAGACGAAATTGTTTAAAAATGTCATCTCACTTGTACAAATACTTACATGAGGATATTGTAATCATTCTTAAAAGTATGTATAGAGTTAATGCTGTTTTTCAGCCATTTAAATCTTTTTATTAATTTAATAATGGCCATTAAAAATAATTGATACATTTAACCATTTACCACTTCATTAATATTTGTGTTTACCTTCTTCATTACTGATTAGAAAAAGCGTTTTTTCCATTGAAACAATTGTTTCACAAGATCGTATTTACGTATTTTAAGTTATAATTACTAGATCTAAAAGTTCAAAGATGAAAAAATTTCTACTGTGGCTTTAAGAAGTTTATAAACCAAATGATTCATAGTAAAATACCAAGAAATTTTAAGTTGCAGTCTGATTCATAGTCATGAAAAATGGTTTATTTTGAATTAAATAAAACAATTCAAGAAAGTAAAGCTTTTGTTATCAACAGAAATTTAATACCCCATATGAATTTTCCAGTTTGTCTTTCCACATGGAGAAGAAAAAGGTAATACAGATGTGCATATTTTAAGCATCTGTGGGAACAAATGCCTAAAATAATTTAGGTGTGTACTTAAATGAAATAAAGATATACAAATTTGTGACCATGTGAAAAGTTTTAGGCCTAAAAGTGTCAAATGCTCGCGTACAAGAAACAGAATGTGAAGAATAAAACTGAACTAAAAACTTCACTCCTTATTACATTTTAAAAATTTAGACGAAATTAAATATTTATCTAAACTTAAACAATCAGACTATTTTACAATTAGACTATCAATAATACTATTTTCTTTCTATATATGCACAGATACGTAAATAAACAAACATGCTATATCTACCTGTATAGAAGCACATAAGCATGACCTTTTATCCTTCTTTTATTCAATGGCTAGCTTAAAAATGCTGTAAGAAGTGTTAAATATAGGAAAAATTTGTCTTTTTTCTGCTCATATTTTTATTTTTATATGCGCATATATACATACTTTTTAAAATGTTGAGTACCACATATTTTATTTTTATTTTGTTGAGTGTTTTAATAAATCAAGTTAAGAATGACCTCAGTGTGATGCTGTGATAGCTTTACCATGTTGTAACATTAACAAATATTGTCTAACAAATTTCAGCATCATGATACTAAAATAGTTTTGATGAATTACACGAATAAATACTAATTTCAAAACTACTGTTTCTTACATATTTGTTAATTATTCCAACATAAACTATCCTGAAAATTTCTTCAGACAGTTAGTATAAAAATTAAATGCAATTAAAACACTTCCATGTCTAATTAAAATTGGAAAAGAGTAAATTTAATATGTTGTACAATAACAAAATATTTCGTTATACAAGAATTTAAAATTGAGCTTTTTTATCGTTCACATATAAAAAGTGCTTAATGTAAAGATTAAACGAAGCAGTTTATATATAATTCTTAATAAATTAACAGCATTTAGAAATCAGAAACAGTTCAAAAGATAGTTACTGAAGCATTTTAGAGACTATAGATTTATACTATTATATCAAAATAAATAAGAAATTTCGTATGGTGGACATGCTTTTTTATAGCTATGTTGTATATGGTAGAAAAATGTATATTGATATTGCTTTCGTTTTTGCCTTCAGTTTTTAAAAAATTTTAAGCAATACAATAAGAAAATCTAATCTAAATAGATATTTAAAACCTTAATGACCACACGCATGAAAATTCACAACAGTTTGGCTTAATTTAAAATGAATGATGCAGATAAAACATTAGAAAACAGATAACAGGAGAAAAAGGATACCTTTCTTATTAGTTTTGAAATTACCTTATAAAGTGGTGTAAACTAATGCCATTACGATGTACAAAGACTCTATTAAACGGATAATAATTTATGAAGATAAACAGAGGAATTACAAGGAAAAAATAATTATGTAATTACAGTAAAACCATATAAAATATAAAGAACACCCATTTTAGCTGTTATCATGATTAACAAGATAAAATAAGATAATTGCAGAGCCTATCTATGAAGCGCATTTAAAAATACGAAACTGAGAAATGAACAATATCGCTTCTGATGGAAAAGATATTAATTGTAGTTTAATTAAGTTAACACATTTAATGTCAATGTTATCAACATTTTCGAGAAGTTATTCTTCAATTATTCTATACAATGGCTAAAGAAAGAATCTAGCTCAAATGATGAACTTGGTCCGATTGACCTCTTCCAGTAAACAGAGCATTTTGATGATAACAAACGACAAAACAGCAGAAATAAATGGAAACAATCAACCAAATGCATAATTCCACTTTCATAAATGGATGATTAACATCAAATATATTCGTGGTAATTATGAAATGCAGAACATCTGAATTATATTTTTTATTTATATTGGACGCAAGGATATATACATTGTCTTACAAAAGAACTTTTACACCATTCACTTCTACAGAGTAAATGTTTAAATATATTTCTACAGAAAACGCTAAATCAGCAGACAAAAATTGCATAATCTTGATGAGAAAAAAAGAATTACAAAAGTCAACTTTCAAATGTATTCAAAGCTTAAAACCAAGTTTTCTATATTACTACAATAAAGCAAATCTAAAACAACAACGATGATATGGATTTAAGATAAAATTTTAAAATCTATAGAGCATTATATTTGTTTAATTCATCATGCCATGCAAACATTACACGCCTTTTATATAGTCTATTCAGTTAAGTACCTTTACAGCAAGAAATAAATTATTTGGTTAAAATGTTTTACTTCTGTTGTTTACAATAAGCATGCGGATAGTGTGACAGCAGCAAAAAAAAACAAAAAGGAGATTAAGTAAAAGGGTGGGGGGAGGAAAACCACTGAATATTTAGCATCAACAAACCTTCTCTTTCAGTATCATTTAAAGGGCGCTCCGGCGACCCATTAACCGTTGAGTTAAACATTCGGGAATGACATAGTGTCAAAAAGACGGTTTCCGCAGGGCTAGCCCTAACGGCCTCGTTTCCCCGTGTTGTCATCGGCCGTTAGGCCTAACGGTCGGCCATCTTGGAGACCGTCTATAGGGCCATTACTGCGACTAAAAGGGGGGTGGGGAAAAGGATGCCGCTGGGGGGTGAAAGAGAGCAACACAAAACACACAGGCTTACCGGCTATGGACATCCAAGGATACCTAGGTACGTCGGGTATCGGGTCCAGTTGCCTTATGCCCAACTGATTGCACGACGTGATGGACGAGCTGAGGTCCGTCGAAGCGGGGTGCGTGAAAAACTGCGATGGTGTCATCATGGTCGGAGTGGTCCCCGGCCCCGCATTTTGCAGGCCGAAGGAATACCCGGGCCCTTCCAGGCCGTTTGCCTGACCGCTGTTGTAGCGGCAGGACTTGGCGAAATCAGCGTTCGAGGTGTAATACAGGTTTCCAGTGACTGACATGCTACTCTGAGGAGACAGGGAGACGTACGGATACATCCTGTGCTGTCCGTGTCCGTAGCTGGAGAGCGGGGGCGACGTCGGATCAGGGGGGAATTTGCTCCCCAATACGCCCTCCATGAAATTCGAAGTCATTTTACATCGTCATTCTGATGGCAGGAGTTTGGCTTTTTAATGCTGCGGTTTGAGAGTTGGTAATGGGTTCCGATCATGAACGAGACAACCCGAGCGGCCTGTAAACACGGCACACCAATCACGAGGAGCACTCGGCTCGGTAGCCAATGACTCGCCGTTTCCGCTACGAATAGATTACCCAGGAAACCTTTTTTCTGTGCGGGGAAAGTGGGCGCTCTTTTAATGACGCCGTCCGACCTAATGTCGCCATCTACCGTTATGTTTGAAAGAATCAAACGGCCCGGATTTTCCTTCGTTGGTATTATTATGGACTTTTCGGGTTGGATCACCCCTCTAAATGAAATGCTCCATCGCATGGGGTGGAAATTTTTTATGCACACACATCCACTTCCCGACTGAAAGTGCGTGAGCTACAGGTGCTAAAGAAAACATTTAATATTTTTCGAAACTATAAATTTAGAAAGAAACACCTTTCGTAAAGTTATTAAGATTTAATTTTGTCTGTAATTACCTGAATATCTAGTTAAGCACCATAATTTCAAATAATGAAACAAATTAAACAATGAAAAATAATGAGAACTGATAGGCTCATTTAACTTAACCATTTTAACTATTTATTTAAAAAACTTTTCAGTTAAAAAAAAAAAAAAAAAAAAAATGTTTAGCTTATTTACTGGATTTCCGCCGAAATATTGTTTTTACCTTATGCTCAGTTATATATGCGTTCACAAAAAGGAAACTATTAGTATTTTTATCGCTTTCTTTTTCAAAAGAGTTTAAATATCATTAAAATGGTTATTATTTAATCAACCACCGAAGAAAGTATCTTGAATCCCTTAGAGATACACTCTTGGAAAAACGAATAATTAATTTAAATTATTAATTAGTAAGAAAAATAATTAATTTTTAAATAACTAATAGTATCTTAAAGCATAATTGATTGCAATTAAACACTGAAAACACGGTAATATAAATAGTGAATATTAATTAAAGAGTTCTAGCAAAAGAATTGCTATTTTAGAAAAAATTTTAAAATAACATCTGTTATTTAGAGTAAACATAATTAATTCATAGAAGTTTTCTTTTAATTTTAGCATTCTGAATACAATTACGATACTAGCACTAGACTGACTTATTTTGCTGAAAGGAATAAACAACATTTATTAGGGAAACTAACCGGTATGAAATGATAAATTAATTCCAGGTAACTATTTGTGAATTAATTGACAATGAACATAAAATACAATTTAATGTTTAATGTCTTGGTAATGATCAAATTCAATTTTAAATCGAAGTAAGCTGTGCTAAAACAATTCGCATTCTTACATAACCATAAAATCTGAGATTTATACTGAAAATAATTCGTTCATACTCTAATAATATTACACTCTAATAATAGCTAGATTTAAAAAATAGAAGCAAAATGAAAATTTTAAATTAAGTTATATATGAGAATTATTAATAATTATAATTTTAAATTTACCATAAATTAATCAAAACAAAAGCGAAATCTAGAATTTCAAATTATAATTACGATATTCCAATATGGATAATAGGGAATTCGAGACTCTAACTAGTAATTTTGCAATATTTAATTATTAGGAATAGTTTCAGAATGTGATAGCTAATGATAAAATGCTAAGTAAAAATGTAGTGATATTCTTTTTTTAATATGTGAGATTTCACAGCAAAACATTTATTTAATATAATACTATACATAAGTATTATATTAAATAAATGTTTTGCTCCTTTAATTTTAAAAGAGTTTTACATATCCTACAACTTGCGTTATGATTGATGTATACATCTTAACAGTTATTGAGAAAACAATTGTTGGTTAATATTTTATGACTGGAATCTGAAACTAGAAACTAAAAGAACTGGTAAGATTTTAGTAACTTGTTTTGCCGAAATACATTGTAGCCAATATTAATTGATTAAATTCAAAACTTTCTCATATTAAATAACACAATTTGATATTTATAACTTGAATTTTCAATTTTAATTTATTCTTAATTATTATACAGCGGTAAAACTCTGAATATATATCTTTATTCTCTTTTAACTATTACGGCGAATCAAAAGAAATAATTTGATTTAGGTGATTTATCTTCTTGTTTTCTAGCCATATAAAATGTGACATTGAAGACAAAAAACTTGAGAAATCTTCAATTTTTAATATAAATCTGTAGCAATATAAATAAAACTGTTAAATTCCGTTGCTACATTTGAAACAGAAATTGATCATTTTTCCATAGCGAAGCGCACTACGGATATTCGCCGGAGAGGGTGCCTTCATGGAGAACTTCCCCAGGAAAAATAACTCGCATTCACGTTACACAGGTAGCATTCAGGTTACACATGAAAACATCATGCAGTTAAATCGTTCACCGGGATATGATTTCAGATTGAAACTACCAGTGTTTAGTGGCTTTATCTGCTCGGTTACTGGGATTAAAATGTTAAACGAATAGTTGACACTTTTTTTTTTTTTAATATTATGGGTGCGTTTGAATAGTTACATCAGTAGTATAAAAATGCTGAATTTCATACTTACTGAAATGCATTTGAAGCAATAACATTTAGCCCAAAGGGGCAATTTGCTCAAAAGGGCTATAAGGTATTTCTCCCACCTTCTTGGCGTGCCTTCGTGGTGTAGTGGTTCTGCACGCTGGGCCAGTACTCCAGAAGTCCATCGTTTGATTCCCGGTGAAGGCGGTTGCTAATTTTTCATCTCTCCGGCTTCCAATAAATACTTAATGTCCAATAAATACCTAATGTCCTCTAAGGGCTATTAATTTCGTTTTGGCATTTTGCCTTCATTCACTATAAACGGCGAATAATTTTTTAAATTGTTGCCACCAAATATTAGAGTCCTATATTACATTTAAAGAAATTAAATAACGAAGAATCTGCATATGTTTATCGCATTGTGATAAACAACGGTACCTAGAGCCATCCAATTTTGATTAACGTATGTTTCCATCCGAATATGGGCATCTGGAAGCCCAAACTTGGAATTTGTTTTCTATTTCATATTTTGTAAAGCATTTATGAGTTTTTGATTAAGAAACTCGACGATTTCAAAGCGAGCAGTGGCAACACTGTACGAAAAAAAAAAAAAATTATCTTCAGCTCGCGAGAAATATTTTGTGATCTTGCTGTTCAATTGAATTTTATGGTCGAAGAGCGAACAGCATGATATTTAAAAAATAAAGGTAACACTCAAAACTCAAAACATTATAAAAAAACGCCCGTTTGGGCGCAATATAAAATCTGAAAGCTTTAAAATTCTATTCCCCCCCCTTTGTTGATGCTTAATGCGTAAAGGAAGGGAGGATGTGTGATAAAACTACTAAGCTTGATGCAGAAAAGTGTATTTAAACAATAAAACATATTAAAAAACATTCTGCTTTAAATATATTTCAGGAAGCGGAAAAAAGTGACCAATGAAAAAGTACAGAGAACAAAAAGAAACACGTGGCTTTCCTACAAGTAATAAAATAAATCCGCAGTGCAGAAAAATAACTACGAGAATAAAAACGATCGTTCTGAAGGCGCATATGAAATAAACGTATAGTAAATCAAGAGGGGGAAAAAAAAGAAACAGCCTATTAAAAGATGATGTTGAATGATCATTGAAATGCTGTAACCATCACTGCAATTCAGCTATCCGTCACTACAATTCAACTACTCTCTCTTTTCGGAAGACCGGACGTCGCACTTCTGGTGTCGTTGTCACGTGGACGTGCGTTTCTGGTCCAGTTGATTCAGGAATGGATTAGAAGACCACTTACGGAGGCATTAAAATGAAAGTGTGTTGTCGCGGCCGTTAAATGAAATTTACGACAAGGTGTAAACACGTGCCCCCAGATACGGTCATAGACTGGGGGACAGAATTACTTTTAAACGATCGCTTAAAACATGAGCTTCGCCTTTTAAGACCGCTACAATTCTTCCGCCACAACCTGTCAACGAAATTTACTAACATAACAATTTATAAATCACAGAAAGAGAGAGGGCTTCCTAAGTTTCTTTTATGCGCCTCTTTGGCTGGCTTGGCGTTGTAGTAAAGAAATTAACCCTCCTGTCCTCTTATTCTTTTTACTGTTGTGATGTTAGAAAAATCCGTATCAGATAATCCGTGCCAGACGTTATTTTAAGCGTCTTAGAGAGAAAATTTTCAGTGCAAAAGGCTGTTTTCTTCGAGTAAATAAATATATTACTTGAAACGTTTTTGGCTGTGCTCTGAGAGTACATAAATATGCTCTTAGCACACATATTTTTATGCAAGGATTTTTCACAAATTATTATAATTGCAAACATAATTTAAACTGTACAAAGGAAAGGTAGTGGGTGTTCAAAGAATACATTCATTCTAATTCTTTGTGTATTGTTTAAAATCATCTAGATTTCTTGACGCAGCTTCAGTTTTTTATCATTGGTATTTATGATTAATCGTAAATTTTAATCATTGGTAGGTTTGTGAAGCTGGGGCCTTAACTCCCATGAACATCTTAATGCAAAGGCTGTATTTATCATTATTATGATTACTCGAGCCTGAAATACATCTTTGCTGATTTTTGATTTCATATGCAAACTGTAAGACTACTTCAAAGAGATAGATCAAATACATACTTAAGAACAGATAAGGAAGAATTAAAATTTAAATGAAATTTAAATGGCCTGTTTGAAATCTAAAAGAATTTTTTTAAAGAAATACTCATTTGTTGATAACTCATTTAATTCCCTTAGAATATGAACTTCATAAAACTTATGCAATTATTTGGTATGTTTGTCATTTTCTGAGCCTGTATATTAATCAGTTTTTTTTTTAGAAATTTCTACACTTGGGCAGATAACATGAATGTGCTCGCCACATTCAAATAACCTAACATAACACTAACTTTTCTCTGATTTTTTATTTTGTTACTTGTTACAGTTTTTGTAAATGAGAAATAAGTATAGATATAATTAGATAAAATTTAAAATCAAATAAAAAAGTTAGCTCCTTAATTTTTTTTTATTTTAAAATATAGATATTGTTACATTGTTGATTAAAAAAACATACTAATTTTTCCCTTTTTTGTGGATGAATAGACTTAACAATTATGCAGTATTTTACGATT